GTGCGCTTCGGCACCAGAATTATCCCCGCCAAGTTGCAGAGCATTGCACGGGAGTGTTTCCTGTTGTAGAGGGAAACTCCCGGTGCAGGGATGAGTTTCCCGCCTTTTCTGCAGCTTCTTTTGCAGGGTGCATTGCTCATGTTGCAAGAGGAATGCACGGTGCAAAAGAGTTCCCGCCACCGGTATGCAAATTCGTTCCCCGTGATTGGCTAGTCTTAAATTATTCCCACGTGGAGGCTAACGATTGGCCTGTTAGCCGTATAAGAGGCTTGAGCAGTTTCCGCCCAAGCCGAAGAGGACTCCACATCCATCTCATGGGGACTCTGGGTACACGGCAGGGTAATAGAAACCCTGTGTGAGATCCAGAGGAGCGTGGCGGCCTGATCCACCGCCCACCTCTTCCCGTCTTCGAGCGCGACTTTTATAAGACGTATCTACGATTTCTATTTTGGTGGCTCGTTCACCCAGAGCATCCGGAGCTCTGCACCCTGAAGCCAGGCAACCTCCCCGAGACCGTCTGTGTTGTCTGTCTGTAACCGCAACTTAATCAAGCTTTCCAGCCTACACCACTGCCATCTCGGTGTAAGTAAACAATCTTTTAAACTACCGCTAAGCGTTTGTGCCTAATTCCAGCTCGATGGCCTTCCCTCTCCAACCCAGCGTGCCCGGGCTGCTGGCCACAGCCCGCGTGCAGCACGAAAAAGGGCTCGGGTCGCTCCCAGCCCGCACAAAGCCCAATCTAGCAAATCACTTGAGCAAGTGCTTATGGAAATAATAGAAATGTATGGCCACCAACGACCACAAGTGAAGATCTCATCTAAGGCTCCTGCACTGAGGCAGAATCAAGTACTTAAACCTGACAGATTTTTGGCTGTCCTTGAAAATGTCCAAGAAGGAGATTCTACTACATATGGAGGTAGCCTCTTCTAGTGTTTCACCAGTTGAGCAATTAGGAATTTTGTTTGGAATACCCAACCTAAATTTGTTGCAAATGAATCTGATTACTTTTTGTTCTTCTTGATCTGGAGAATAATTGATCACCATTTTGTTTATAACAATCTTTTAAATAGTGGAAACTTGTTATCATGTACCCTCATCCCTTTCAACTTTTTTCTTTCCTAAATGTTTCCTTCAACATTTCCTCATAGGTCAGATGGTCAAAGGGAGCAGGGCGGGGCAGGGCGGGGCAGGGTGGGGCTGGAGCTGGCACTAAGGTAATGTTTGACAGCCCAGAGATTGCAAGTTCAAAGCCACAGCATAAGCACTCAGCATGGCTCTGTCAGATTCCAATGAATCTGCAAATTCTACTAAATACCTTGTCACAAGGACCTGAAAAAGGAAAAGAAGATGGTCTAAGCCTTTTATCATTCTTCCTGCTTTCCTCTGAACTCTCTGCAATTTTTCTACTTCTTTCTTTGAGTGGAATGCCCAAACATTGATTGGGCAATCTGGCCAAGGCCTCACTTGTGCTAAGTTGAGTAGTAGTACAGCAGCTTCCTGCATTTAACACAAAGCGCTCCCATTAATATATCATTTTGGTAGGAGCATAGTAGCACTAATGAGATTTACCATTTTAGTAGAAGCACAGTAGCACTAATGCTAATTTAGTTTGCAATCCACTTCAGCCATCAAATCCTTCTCAGGCATACTAGCTAATGCCTATATAGCTAGACATTCCCTGTTTTGCATTTTTGCATTTGATTTTTCTTCCTAAGTATAGTATTTTGCACTTATCATTAGTGAATTACCTCTTTTGAATTCAATGATGTTTTAATTTTTCAAATTAATTTTGAATTTTGAATTCATCCTCTAAAGAGGAGGCAACTCCTCCCGACTCAGGATCATCTACACATTTTATAATCAGACCTTTCATTAACAATAATTTTGAATAGAACTATGTCCAAGACAGACCACCTGGAAGACCCTGCTTGAAATTCTCTCTCAGTTT